GGAGGGAGCTCGAGTTCCTGGCCGGCTCCTCTCACGCTGCGGGTCGGAAGCCTGCCCTCCTAGGACTCGTGCCCAGAGACTTGTCAGGAGAGCCTGGACCACGGGTGAAGAGGGCAGAATGGAAATGTATTTGGAGTTAAATGTAGGGGAAGCTGCCCTGACGCAGGCATTTCAGTGGATTACAATAGTGGTTGGTTGAAATGTAGAGTTTTTAAAAAGCAGACAACTCCTGTTCCTACATCTGTTTGTAAAGAAAACCGTGTCTTTAAATCACTCTTCTGTAAATAGAGGACCTTTTTGCAGTGTCTCCCCTTGCCGCAGCGTCTGTGTACTTAACCTTCCAATCAGCGCATCACCTTTGGAGGTGATTTTTTAAACCTTCTCGTCTGTCTTTTTAATGACCTTGCCTTCTCAACAACCTCACGCAGCCCAGCCACGAGCTGCTGGCTGTCACGGGCATTGTACTTCTACCCGATTCTGTTTCCTCTAAACTCAGATTCCCAGCGATGTTTAAAATCTTGTGGAAATGTTTAGATTTTTAACACAGACCCTGTCTTAAAATCTGTACATTAACATTAGGGTCAAAAGGAGAAACAAAATTCTGCCATATTGTAAATTTACAGTGCAGGCTTTAATTTTTTTAAATTAGTAGCACTGAAAAAAACAGTACTGCATGGGTATGTTATAGTTCAGATTTTAACGTTTTAAAGGCTTACCTGAGGCATACCTCACTGTGATGCACACTGGTAATTAACCACACCCCGTATTCTTTTTCTCCTGCATCTGATGCAGCCCAACAAAGCTTCTGTTTCAAAATAAACCTGACTGCCCTGTCAGTAGCTACGGTAGATTATTTGTGATTTAAGGCTTGTGGTGTCTCAGATCACGAAGGAAAAACTTACTTTTCTCCAGTTTGGCGTACAGGATCAGTGGAGCTGGAAGACTGCGGTCCGCCTAGAGTCTCGGTGTCGTAGGTCGGCTTTGTGCGTGTCCTGCAGGCTCCTGGTCCTTCCCTGCCACGGCGCCAGCCAGCGCTCTCATGTTGATTCCTTGTGGGCAACAGTTTCTTGTCAAATGTTTTCAAATAGTTTAAAACACTGAATTTTAAACTAATTACAGTATTAGAGGATCAGCCACCCTTCATTAGTAACTGCTTACTGAATTTAAATTTTTTCCGTACAACGTAGGCACAGTACTGGAGCCTCCTCCTGTAGCCTACGGACACTCCTGCTTTGCGGGGGTGGAGGTCTCCAGGGCACTTTACAGACTCTTAAGCTTTTAAACAAGCACACGCAAGCCTCCACCAACACAGCACCGCCTCTGGCGTGAGGAGACCCCTCGTCCCGGTGAGGATGCAGGCTCAGGACTTTGCCCACATAGTTAAATGAGCACCTAAGACAGGGCCGTAAACCCACACCTGTTTCACGCTCAGGCCCCTCGCTCCTGTCACTCTGCTGCACTCTCCTGTGCTCGAGGTCCTCAAAGCAAGCTTCAGATCAGGTGCAGCCACCAGAAGCCTGCCACCTGGAAAGCTGGTATGACAAATACACATACACACACACAACGTTTTAATGTGAACTAAAAACAGTAACTTTTCTGTTGAATTTATTTTAGGTACTGGTGCTGTTACAGATTTTAATAATTTACATTGTCAGCTGTCCCAAAGAGATGCTGTTTTTCTATGACTAGTGTCATAGTCATGCCCCCTCAGCAGCTCCACTCGAGGACCCCAAAGGGAAAGGGAGCAGCTGTGAGCTACTCACCCCTCCTCATCAGTGTGTCTGCCTTCACTGCTGTCATCCAGAGGAGATCCCAGAAGGGGGAGAGAAATCCACTGTCACGTTTCAGTTGCGGACAACAGCAGAACAGAACGCTCACCTGGTGCACCTGAGGAGCAGGCCATCTGGACATGGAGGCCCGAAACACCCTGCACAGTGCCGAGCGCGACGAGGGCCTGGCGAGGTCAGCTGTGACCTGGGGCGTGACTCTGCAGGCCGTGTCCTGAAGCTACAGCCTCACCAGTGGGTCTTTTTTTTAGCGCCCAGAACTAAGTTAACGTCTCCCCACACCGCGCACAGAAGCGTCCTGACAGCCAATTTCCAGCGCACGTTTATGAGAAGATTCATAATGCTTGAGCTCTGGTATGCTGGGGGATCCTATCTTAAAACATTTATGCCCTGAAAACTCTAGTGAAATAGTTCAAAAATGTACACTACTTTTCACAATCCACCTCTGAATTCAGCCCAGTCAGTACAGGGTCAGTCCTCGTCCTGCTGCCCGCACAGCAGTGCAACGAGCGCCATGTGCAGAGCTGTCTTTCTGAAAACGCCTACAGTTCTTCCAGCCCTGGGACCGTGAGCCAAAAATTCTTCAATAAAACCTGGAGTGAAAAAAAACATCTCACTCTCAGTAACTCCTACAGTTGCGAAACAGCAAAAAACACCCTCAAGGCAGAAGGTGAGTAGTTGACAATTTTTTTAAATCGCCAATAAATTAAGACTGGGTTCCCCTGAAACTCAGTCTGAGCTACGGCTTCTCTCCTAGACTCGAGTGAAGGACTTAGCTGGGTCAGGCAAAGCGGGAAGGAACTACATCTGCAAAATGTAAGAGACTGGTTTTAATCTAATCCCTGTATTTTGTTTTTACTTATTTTTCAAAAAAACTCAAAAGATGGAATATGTCTAGTACGGCTGTGGAGTCTCCAGTTTATTATAAAAAGATTCTTCCAGTATGTACACAGGAACCAGGAATACCAGCTTCTCCCTCCCGCTCACACCCCACCGGCATCCGAGCAGTAATGGCGCCCCTTCGTGGTACCCAGAGGAGCCGCAAACCTGCTGGGGTGAAGACGTCTATGCACCTGCGTTTCTACACTGCACATCCTCTGAGGCAGTGGGCTAAAGGCCTCTCCACACAGCAGCCTGTCTACTTCAGGCCGTCAGCCAGATCCATCCCCCACGGCCAAGAGAGGATCGCACCTGCTCCTTCCTTCACACAGGAGGACACAGACCTGAACCCAGACAGCCAAGGCCTGGCCCAGGTCAGGGGACCGCGTGTCGGGATTATGGGTGGGGGGTGGGGCTCACAGCCCGAGGGCTCCAGTCTGAGGCAGAGGTTTGGGGTGCAGCCCGGGCAGCACGCTCCGAAGACAGCGCGTGGCCGAGGGGTGGAGAAGCGGGTGCTCAGAGACGGGCAGCAGGAGGCTCTCATCCCTTTCCTCACGGTTGTATATACCCAGACCTTCACAGAAACCAATGACCGACTTTCATTTATAAAATCAAATGGGTGCTACGCTTTCAAGTGCTAATTCCCACTTTAAAACCTGGCGGCAAGCCAAGATACCATCTGCCCTCCTTTCTGCGTCAGACCCCACCCTGGGCTTCATGAGAAAGACTAGAAGACAAGGTAACTCACCACAGTCCCCCTGGGCAAGAGGCAGGGAGCGCTGTCTGCCAGGTATTGATAACGTCAGAGAAGAGGTGGCAGCCAATCAATGGACTGAACCTCCAGCGAGATGCCTGGGTGACCCGCCCCCTTCGCCTGCAGTCAGGCGGGCCAGCACCCCACCAACCGCGGGCCCCAGCTGCAAGCACCAACTGACACCCACCCTTAGAAGCAAAACCAGTTGGGGGTCAAAGTTTTCTCTAAAAAACAAGAGTAGCAGTGCCCAACAGCTCGTCCTCCCCAGGACCACGCTGAGGGAACCTGAGTGTCAAGGACCAAGGACTGAAGCCGCTGATCTGGGCGCCCTGAGCCTGGAGTCCCAGCTGTTACCACGGGGGCAGCCTGGGGCCTGCGGAGACTACAGCAGACGCCTGCTCTTCCTCGCCAGCTCGGCCAGCTCCTCCCTGATGTGCTGGGCGGAAAGCTCATCTCTCCGCAGCTCCGCTCGCTTCAGGGCTTCCTGGTAGAGTTCTCTTGCTTGTGCGTATTGTTCTGAAATCACCCGGAGACAAGGGAGGAGGAGAAGCTGCATGTTTTCAAAGTGATCCTGAGAGACTCCAGAGAGAGCCCGGGTGGCAGCGCAGACCCAGTTCCCCGCGGGAGGCCTCTGCGGCCTCACCTGTCCCGCCTGACAAGCTGGCTTGGGGCAGCTGCAACCCCGCCGGCCGGGACCTCCTAGACGGTGGCACGTGGAGGAGAGACCGTCACTCCAGGTTTCCGAGCACAGGCGAGGCCCTGAGCAGCCTGGCACAGCCCGTCACACCAGCCTCCTGAGCGCACTGTGACAGACACTGTGCTGCGTGTGCACAGTGTGTAAAGCATACAGAACTCAGGCGCTAACGACTGCTGCTGAAATGTCCGTGACCTTGGTGCTTCACAGGCTAGCACGGGACTACAGACGCGCCCCGGGCTGTGCCGTCCTCACGGCCCCCTGCGCTCCCTGGACGCCACTTCCCAGGTCTCCATATCCAGCGACACCCGCCCTAAAGCCATGGGGCCCACGCCCTTGCGCCCCACCTCTGTGCATGAGGACTGCAGCCAGATTACTGAGCAGCACGTGAAGCTCAGGATGCTCCATCTGCCTCGCCAGATCCGATGCCCTCTGCGCATGAACACAGGCCTCATCAAAGCGGCCCTGCGCATCCAGGGTGGTCGCCAGGTCACTCATCAGCACAATGGTCTAGACAAAAGAAGAAAACCAGACAGCTGCTTCTTTAAAAAAACACCTACACGAAGGGATAGATGGGATTTCAAAATTGCAGAACAGATAAACAAGATTATACCGTACAGCACAGGGAAATACACACAAGATCTTACGGGAGCTCACAGAAAAAAATGTGACAGTGAATATATGTATGTTCATGTATAACTGAAAAATTGCGCTCTACACTGGAATTTGACACAGCATTGTAAAATGATTATAAATCAATAAAAAATTTAAAAAAAAAACCACCTACACAGATCTAACGTTAACTTGGAGTCTAACAAACTGAACAGACACGGAAGATTTCATCCCTCTGAGCACCCCACAGAAGCTGAGGGAGGGACGCTGGCCTCCACCAGCGACGTGGTCCTCACGCTGCGCAGTGGATGCATCAGCTCCACCCTCTGCAATGCGACAAAGCTGCAGACTAGGAAGCAGGGTGAGTACTGCTAACTAGCCCAGCTGTCAAAGCAGAAGCCCCAGGCGGAAGGAAGCAGCAAGGAGCTGCAGAGCACAGCCCCGCCGCACTCGGGCCAGGCCCTCGGAGCCGCCTCCAGAGCCTGCCGGTGACGGCGTTCTCGTGGCGACCCTGAGGCTCACCCAGAAGAAGTACATCACTGCTTTTAGGAAGATTCTCACGGAATGTTACAGTTCTGGCACTGAGCCCAGCAGGCCTGACTCCTCTCCTCGGAAGCCATGCCTTAGGCCCGGGTTCTAGGCCTTGGGGATTTGGATTCCGTATCTGCTGTCTTGCTTCTCAATGCTATTCCTTTATGGAGTCTTGCGCTGAATCCCCTTCTTGAAGATAACTCGTAGCCCAGTGACCTGCCCCGCGCACCAGCCCCGGGACGTGCTCAGTCCAGTTACAGGGTGTGTGGCCTGCGTCGGGCGCACCGAGGTTTCACAAAATCCATTCCTCACTTCTAAGAACTTAATCTGACAGAGGAGAGACACAGAGAGACGACCTCAGTGCAGTGCGTGCTGCATGCTGTGCTGAGCTCCCAAAGGATGCTTTTCATTTTGCTTCACGCAGTCGCCTCCTCTCTCCTGCCTCCCCCCGCACTTCGCCTGTGGGGCTCAGGAGGTGAGGATCTTCAAATGTCACCCTGTTCTCACAAGATCTTCAAAAGATTCGGTTTCCCAAAGTACCGTGCTGTGCAAACCAATCCTCACATGAAACATACCGGGCAGACCCAGCCGCTGACCCGCGGCATCAGACCCTTTGTGAAAGCAGCTGCGGGGAGGGGGTCAGGAGCAGACTGCCGAGGAGCTGATGCACCGGGGCCGCTGTGGCTCACCTCTTCCCAGCTCAACCCCCCAACTTATGTAACCTTTGTTTCCCAGCCCTCCTGTTCCCCTCCCTTACCTGCGGGTGTCTTTCTCCTAGGATTTCTTCAGAAATCTGCAGGGCTCTCTCGTACATCCTCTGTGCCCGCGACGGCCGCTCGGAGAGCAGCAGGTAGCGCGCGCAGGCGTCTAAGCACATGCCGAGGAGGAGCTGGGTGTCGGCCTTCTCTTCCACTAAGGAGGACACAGAGCACTGCTGGGACGTAACAAGTGAGACAGGGAGGAGTGGCCGCCCCACCCGGCCACCCCCGGTCGCCAAGCCCACATGTGACTGAGCAACACAGGGCCCACACTGCCTGCCACCTCCCGCCACTCACTCCTGCCCTCAGCCTCGTTGTCAGAGGTGACGGGTGGGCTGACGTCTGAGCTGGTTCGAGACCCAGATGTGTGTGCTGGGAAGGGGGTGCTTCTATACCAGTGGGCAGTCAGCACCAGCAAGGCATCCAAGAACTCAGCTAAATTCTGATACTGCCCGCCCAGAGGTTCCACAGGCTAAGGGCTCAGCCCTCCAGGTCTGCGCCCCCCACCCCCCAACTACAGACACCGTCCGCAGGGCCAGGCTGATCGACTGCTTACAGATCAGGACGTCCCACGACCCACTCTCTCAGGTTTAATTAACTTGCTAGAGCAGCTCGCAGGTTACCAGATGGCCAGTCACTAAAGGCCATGACTCAGGAAGAGCCAGACAGGAGGGAGGCCCGGGGCCCCAGCAGCTCCCCAGTACAACCCTGGGTTTTTTCAAGGCCGCATTTCAAAGGCACGACTGATTAAATCACAGTCCGCTGGCCACCAGCCCCCACCCTTAGGTGCTTTCCAGGCCACCTCATTAACATAACAAAAGGCCTTTATCACGCTCAACTCTTAAAAAATCCCAAGGGTTTGGGGAGCTGGGAGGCAGGAACTGTGGACAGACGTACATGTGAGAAATAAGTTCAGCTCATGTGAATAACAAAATATGTATTTCTTATAAATCAATTTTGTTACAATTTTGCAACGTACAATTAAATCACCAACTTTTCCCTACATTTTAAGACTGCACCTACATGTAGATTAAAACGTAGAATAATATTTTAGTTTGAAACTAATAATATTTACCAGAAACAGGTGACAAACTCAAAGACGAATAGTTAAGGACAAAGCCCAGGGCCGATGAAAAAGGTTTACAATGCAGAAAAGGCAACACAGAAAGAAACCAGAGAACACTTAACCCTGAAGTGGAAAGTCACGAGCCACACTTAAAGAACAGTTAGTCCACTTTCTTGAAGAGCAGTAATAAAGGCTGCAACAATGTCGCACCTCTCAACACCTGACAGGACTGGCCACGCGACGTCTGAAGCACAACAAACTTGAAACACCTCCTGCCACGGAAGAGCAAGCTGCACCCGGGAGCCCCTGCAGGGACGACACCCACGACGTGGAAACGGTGACAGCAGATCAAAGGGATCTGCCAGCAGCCCAGGTCGATGTTTCATGAAGGACTTGAAAAAAGGCTCCCTCAGATAACCAAGTGACAGAACTATCAGCCGCCCGAGTGAAGGCGTTCAGACGGGCTCAGGCACCAGCGTGTCACTCGTGTCATTCATATTAAATCCCTTTCTTTCCACACCGTCAAGGTTCCAGAAGACTTACAAACAGCACACAGAACTTAAAGACCATGTCACCAGAGGACAGCAGTGTGACCAGTTACCGAAGTCAGTCTAAACAAAGCAGGGCAAGTGGAAACGTCTACTGACATGACGACAGGTGGTGAAAAAGGCCCACACCCAACTCTTCTTCAAGCACAGGCCCAAAGGCCTTAAGGCTTACTTCGGCCTAGTCATGTAGACAAAGTAAATCATGACCATTTTCTTAAAATCAAATGAGGAGTGGTTTCCAACAGATCACCTTACAAGTCTATTTTCAAAAAATGTAAATAAAAATTACGGATAAATATAACCAATATAAAAAAGCAAAACGTAAGATTGCACCAAATAAACACCACACGTGAAGACGCCGCATCAAGTAGCGGTTTAGGATGCACACCGCCTTGAGATGATGCAATGAAGACACACCCAGTTAACAAGGAGACAGAGCTGTCTCTTCAAGGACAAAAAACACCCAAGAAGGTAATCTGCAACAGATTTAAAATCCCAGCCACTAAAATCCATGTTCTGAGAACATTTAAAGACAAAAACGTTTACCATATAGCAAAAATATCACAAAACAATGTATAAAATCATCTTTCCAATCATGGAAACTAAGTTTCAAAAAAGACTGCCGAATTGTGTTTCTGGAATTTGTATTCTCTTTAAATGTTTCTACACTTTAAAAAAGTACACTCTTTTTACATTTTATATTTAATACTGTAATTCAAAAGTACAAGAATCAATTGACAAGTAATTCTGGTGGAAAATTCTCACCCCTGCTATCAGTGATGGAAATTAATGAGAATAGAAGGATGGTGAGGCTTCTTAGAAAGAATAATTAATGAGGTAAGATTATAGCTGCAATATTTTTTCACTGTTAACAAGAAAATACGTTTTAAATTCACAGCACATTCTAATCACAGTAACATGAAAAATGGAAATATTTTTAATATACTTCTCTAAAAACAGGACCGAGGGAGAAGTAGATTCCACAACAAAACCTTCAGCACTCCAAAGAGTTCCTTCTCTAACGAGCAACAAAACATGGTTCCTTAAGTATTCATATACAAACTGCCAGAAATTAGACAAGAACAATCAGCCGAAACCAGCTGAGAACCAAACTGGGGCTGTTCGAACAGAGCTTCCCCTCAGGTGCTATCTGATCTGAGGGGGGGAGGGCACACTTACTGCTTTGAGCTTTAATTATGAGTAATTCTTTTTCACAAATGATTTCGAAGAGAAAAGGATGAGCTACTTGAAATCAGTCTACGAAACAAGGTTCATCACAGAAGTTTCACTACAAACATCGGCAAACGGAAGTCTCGGATGTGCTAAGGAGGTGACCGAGCAGCCCCGATTCCAGGAGCACCACGAACAGCCGGTGTGCTTGCTGCGTCAGCGCATCAGACAGGCTGCGTGAACGCGGACTAAAAGGGATCTGGTAGGGAGCCCTCCTACACTGCTGATGGGAACGCAGTTTAGTGCAGCCACTGTGGAAAACAGCATGCAGGTTCCTCAAAAGACGAAAAATAGACTTACCATGTGACCCAGGAATCCCGCTCCTGTGCTTATATCCAGAAGGAACCCTACTTCAAAATGATACCTGCACCCCAATGTTCATAGTAGCACTATTTACAACAGCCAAGACATGGAAACAGCCTAAATGTCCATCAACAGATGGCTGGATAAAGAAGTTGTGGTATATTTATACAATGGAATACTACTCGGCCATTAAAAATGATAAAATAATGCCATCTGCAGCAACATGGATGGCCCTGGAGAATGTCATTCTAAGTGAGGTAAGCCAGAAAGAGAAAGAAAAATACCGTAAGTGATCACTCATATGTGGAGTCTAAAAAAAAAAAAAAAAGACAAATGAACTTATATAGAGAACAGAAACAGACTCACAGACATACAATACAGACTTGTGGTTGCCAGGAAGGAGGAGGGGTGGGAAGGGATAAACTGGGAGTTTGAATTTGCAGATACTGACTGGTATATATAAAATAAACAAGTTTATACTGTATATAGCACAGGGAAATACATTCAATATCTTGCAGTAGCTTACGGTGAAAAATATGAAAATGAATATATGTATGTTCACGTATGACTAAAGAATTGTGCTCTACACCAGAAATTGACACCACATTGTAAACTGATTACACCTCAATTACAAACACAAGTAAGTAAGTAAGTAAGTAAATAAATAAATAAATAAATAAATAAATGGACTCTGGTAAGGCACTGGAACCATGACAGGCACTTACAAACCAGAGAAAGGGATTCTCCATCAATAAGAGAAAGCGCATCTCTAACTTAGGAAAACTCGAGCACAAGCATCTAGCTCACCCTCCAGGCACCAATAATCATCTAGGAAAGCCCACAGGGTCTTCAGACCAAAGGCATTTGCCACTCATGTCCCAGGAACACCCTAGAATTTCTGCTAAGAGGAATCCCACTAGCTAACTGGTTACCCCATCAGCCTTCCCTGAGACCAGTACTGGTATTAATGGAAGGAGCTTCTGGTTCCAATTGTATGACTGATAGTCTGAAAACCCTTCTGCTTCCAATGTTAGATAAATCATAACATCCTTTCACATGCACAGCTGAGTTCCCGGGAGAAGGCGGTCCCAAGGGCCGAAATCCGGAGTCAGCTAAACCCAAAGTAGAAAGCGCAGCTGACCCTGCGGTGGTGCAGTCTGGCTGGGGGCGGGGGGCAGGGGGAGTGATCTCTGACCCACAAGTGAGAACAGAGGACAGATCTGAAGCCCCAGCATAAAGCCAGGGTGATCACCACTGGCTACACGTGAAGCCTTGATGGCCAAGCCAGGAGCTGGGGGGGAAATGACTGCATGGAAATCTGTCTCACAGGCCTGCGCCACGTGCAGTTTGATGCCTACATTTACACAGTCCATTTAGGCTTGGAACGGATGTGGAACAAATAAAACTCTGCTAGGGACTCATTCCTAAAACCCTACGGAAAGTGAATTTATAACCCCAAGTTACTAAGCATGAAGATGCATCAGAAATGAGAATCAGCAGACAATAACAAGAGGGCCTTGCCCTCAAGAACTTTTGATAGCAGAGAAACCCCAGATTGCAAACTAGGCGGGGCCGGGCGCTGGCCCCTCTCTGCCTGTGAGCGCCTCCCCTCAGAGCTGGCCGCGCGGCCTGCTCCCTCCTGTTCTTCAGGCTTCTCCCCAACTGGGCCTCTCCCGACCCCTCGGTAAAATACCGCAGTGCCCAGTATATCCCCTATACACTTATTTCCTCATAAACCCTCTGCACAGCCCTGAATCATCTATGGGCAGATGATAACCGAGTGGATTGTGTTTACTGTTTTTCCTCCACTAGAAACTGAGCTGCGCAAGGCAGCGACCGTGTTTCATCACAGCTGTGATCTGCCTGGTCATGAGCCTGGTGTGTGACAGCCGCTCAGTCAGTACTTCCCGGCTGAATGAGTGGACATACAAAAATAAAGAAAATGAGAAACACAAAGGCACTCAACCACATGTGAAGAAAACAAGATGAAAGCAGAAGTTAATTTTA